TTTTAGACGTGAACACCAGATATCTAAATCCTAGGTTTCAAAATCTTTTTTTTTTTCTTTTTTTTTTTGTCTTTTCTCTCCCAATTTACCTTTCTTTTCTGCACTTTTCTAAGATGGGAACAGGAGCGGGAAACTCTTAACATATAATACAGAAATGGGATCGTGAAAGTTCTAATGGGATAAATATGCCTCGATATTGGATAATATTGATTACAGAATTACTCGGTTTATCAAGAAAAGGAAACTCATCACTTCTGGATTAATTACAACTTGATTGTGTCTGATCGGACAGAGGCTTGAGACTTTATTGTTTCAGAAGATCTTGAATAAGGCCCTATTATTTAAGAAAGTCTGGTACCCTAATGGAGAGAAAGGCAGGAATATATTAAATGCACACATTTCTGTGTTCATGGCACACTGCCCAAAATCATGATTTTATAGGTTCATATCAAAATATTACTGAGACCCTTGGCTGGAATTTCAAATACGAAGAACCTCAGCACAGGACATTAGTTAATGAAGATTGGACCAGATGTAACTGAAACATTTCAAAACTAAGATAAAAGCACTTGATTAGACTATCATCAAATCGGTTATGCTTTATCAGACTCACCAGTGACATCATTGGTGGCAACTGAAAATTCGTTCTCTTATGATCCCAGTTGGCTTTTAGCACATCTCCAATGACCTCTTGTATTGAAAGCCCTCGAGCAACATCCTGCAATCATTAGCAATCATTTTTCCAAGAGACGAACACAAAAAATAAAGCAAGCATGTCCCGACATTAGCACAACCTCCACAGTTCTGATAAAAATAGACATATAAAATGAAATTTGCTACTTCACATAACTAAAGTGTACATAAGGGTGAATGTATACTCACATGGAGTGGTGCCAGTTAATAAAATATTAGGATGAGCCCCACTATGTATGAGTGCATGCACACCCTTATGTACATTTAAAACAAGGAACAGATTCCTAAAAATATGGTCCTTTGAATTTGTGATTAGGAAGAAAGAGGCCTACGTTTTGTCATAAAAAAACTGTTGTTTTTGTGTTCATGGACATGCATTTATATAGAACCCCACATAACAACATTTCCAGGACAAGAAAGCCAAATACCTGAGCAGAAGAAAGTACTTCAGGCGAAAACCTGATATACTTTTGACTTTCGTAAACAGCAGAGCTCACGTCGAAACCGCTACCGACTTTACCCTGCGCTATACAGTGAGCAGTTTGAGCTATGATATGCACGACATCCAGTTCCTTCGAGACTTGATCCCCTGGAAGAGAACTATTTTCTAAGGAAAGTTTGACCACTCCAAGGTAATGAAGTAAAGCAGCAACAACTGCAGTTGTCATAGCAGCAGACGAGCCCAATCCAGTTTTGGCAACTTCGGGTTTGCTCTTTTGTTCACTAGATTCCTCTGCATTAAAGGTGATCGAAGTGAAAGGTGGGAGAGAAGCCAGTGAATCGGGAGATAGAGGCAGGCCACAGGCTTCAATCTGCGTGAGAGTACCCATATGAGTCTGAAAGAAGCATTTTCACAAAAATAGTTTCATATCCATGTGCATGAGTAACTTTGAAAATCCTTCCACTATGCTGAAAATGTTAGGTTTAATAATTTCTGATCATAAACATCATTGAGACGTGGCCCAATTGCCAAATTAAACAAATTGTCTGGTAAAAATTCAGTAGAATAATGGCGAAGTTGAATACCTGATTTTTATATGAATAGAACTCATTGCAGCCTAAAATCGTAATGTCAAGACCTGCATGACTAGACCAAAACAGACATTAGAATTTCTAAGTTTAGTTAGCTTTTGAAGAAAGATCGGGGAATTTCATATCCAACTTTACCTAGCAACAAAAGTTTATGTAGCTCCTCCTTCTTAGTATTGTCAAAGGTGGCATGTGCTGCTGCTATAGCATATTGCAATGCATATTCTACGAATGGGTTTCTTGAATCACTGAGTAGGCATAGCGAAAAAATTCTCTCATGTAAGCATTAATTGGCCATATGGTTCTTGCCCAACTGTCAGGTTTAAGGTCCTCATAAAGCGGCTTGACAATAGCATAAAATCGGGCATTTGTACTTAGTACAATCCCTGCATTAGGCCTCTCCAGAATAAGATATCCACCAGTCATCAAAACTTTTCCCGGCGCAGAAGCAACCCTACTCATTAATAAATTAGAACACAATCACTAACACCATCATCACCACGAAACAAAAACATACTGTAATTAAAACAAGAACAAGCCTACTCACACTGCCATTTGTCGGCAACTGTATATAGAATTAGATCTGGACAAAAGAAACAACAAAATCAAGAATCAGATGAATAACAACGAAATCAAAACAATGAAAACGGCTAGAGATGGCAATGGGGCAGGTCAGGTCGGGTACTTCACTACCCGGGCCTGCCCCGCGACCCCAACCCCGAGGACGCCCTGGTCCGTTTCCCACCTCGGGTCCAGCAGGGTTGCCTGTGACCTGGCCAGGCCCGGATGGGTTTGTTTAAAAGAAATAATAATAATAATAATAACATTACAGTGGAAGAATAGCAAGGTTTGAAGTTTCATAGAAAAAGAGTCACAAATTATTTTATGATTTATACTAAATGAAGTATAAAATACCCAAATTTTTTGTATGTTGTTCAGAATAGCTGGGATTTTATTTGAAAAATATACAGACTAATGTACAGTAAAGCCCAAAAATACTTCTCATTGCAAACATATTTTTGAATGGCGACTGGCGAGGCGACTGGCCCATGGCCTCGCCATTCGCCATGGCGAGGCCTCGTCTACACATATCAAATTGATGAACTAAATATAGAGTATTAGACACCTATGTAACGAATTAAACAATTGAAACACATAAACAGATAAGTTAAACAGAAAAACTAAACCGAAAACCTATGTATTATACAATAGAGAAACTAAACATACAAAAATAATAAGCACTAAATTATAAATAAAACAGAAACTTTTTTTTTATTTACAAAAAAAAAGAACAACCCCAACACTAACAGAGGTCAGCAGCGCGCGACATACCCGGGTAGGAGCTCGTAGATGCGGGGCCGGCGCGACAGCAGCTCCTCGGAGATTAAGAGAGCTGTCATTTATTTTAAACTATGACTGCAAATGTACAAAATGCAGAATAAACCAAAACTAAAAAGAAAACACTTGATCTTTTTAAAAGGGATTCAAAATAAAAGCAAAACTATAAAAATTAAAAATAGAGTGACCAACTGATCTATACGACTATATCTAACTCAATGAATCCACAAAAAAGATTTGGCCAGTTATGCAATATTTTCATTGCTCACCATCTGAAATCTCAATCACTTAAACAGATCGGTCGGCCGACGCGAGCCCCGAACCATATAGTAAGATCCCCAAATATTTTGGAAAATTAAAATGTTCGTTCATATCCCAAATAATTTCAATAAAATCGTAAAGTATAAATTATCTCAACTCTTGAAATGATGAGGGCCGCATCTCGACTAAGAACACAAGGCTAAATTAAAGGTCTTTGTGTGTACGCATGTGCCGTGGATCTCACAATGATATGCAAATTCAAAACCGAATATTTTCGAATTTGCAGCGTCGGATTGAACTGCACTTACATGTT